GGTTCGATTCCGGTCAAGGGCATGTACCTGGGTTGCGGGCACGTCCCCAGTAGGAGATGTGCGGGAGGCAGCTGATCGATGTTTCTCTCTCATCGATGTTTCTAACTCTCTATCTCTCTCTCTTCCTCTCTATAAATAAATAAATAAAATACAGACAAGCCATCTTGAATAATCAACTGAAGACTAGCTGGAGAGGATCCCGATAAACAAAGATGGAAAGTGGAGACCCCATAGAGACTGGTAGGAAGTGTGGAGGTACAAGAGGGCTGGCCAGGCTCCCACAAACAGCAGCTGAACTTATGGAGGGATATCTCAGCTGTAAGGGGTTCCCACTGAGAACTCATGGATATAAACTCCAAGCTGGCTGCCCAGCTGAGAGTACCAGGACTGAGAAAGATGCCAACATAACATCTGGCTGTGAAAATCAGCAGAGTTGCTGGCCTGCCAGGGAGAGATGGCTGCAAATTCAGGCAACCTCTTAAAGAGCCAACACACAAAAATTCCTATGCAGCCACTCACCTTGGGGTCCGACAGAAGGTGGGAAGAGTGGACTAGAGCTGTGTGAGTATAATACAGGGATGGGGGCTCTGGGGTTAGAGCTCAGAAAGCAACCACCTCAGTCCCCTGTGATGAGTCATTCCCTCATGCTGCAGAGGACATCTTATCTTTCTCCTGCAGAACTTTACCATCCAGGCAGCTTTTGCCTGGGGCGGGGAGGGTGGGGGAGATTGCCCCACTCTGTTGAGAAACCTCTCATACCACCCTGTGGTTGATAACATGAGGCAAATCAACTGAATGACATTCAGACTGCAGGAAGAGGCAGATCTCTGAAGGCTTTGAGTCTTTGCCTGATTTCCTTCTGGGACCGGGGCTAGGAAAAGCAGACCCTGGTGCATATCCTGGTCTTTCCAAAGGCACCCAGCCCCAGCAGAGGGAGCCGCAAGCTGTGGATTGCTGATAGCTCCAGACAGGGTACTCAGGGCCAGTCACAAACAGCATCTGTCATTGACCTGCACTAGAGGTTGGGAGTCATAGCAGATCTACATAATACATAGCTACAAACCCAAACACACACCAAAAATAGGGAGACAAAAAAAACAAGCCCCAAATGAAAGAACAAGGGAATTCTCCAAAAGAAGAGCTAAATGTAATGGAGATAAGAAATTTATCAGATACAGAGTTAGAATAATGATGGAAATGATGCTCAACAGCATGAGAAAAGATATAGTAACTATGAAAAAAGACCAGTGAGAAATGAAGAATGACATAGCACTAATAAAGAACACATTGGATGGAATACATAGCAGAGTAGAGGAAGCTGAAGATCAGATCAGTGAATTAGAAGACAGGGTAGAAAAAAATCAATCCCAGAACCAAAAAGAAAATAACAAATAAAAATAAAAAAACAGGAGGACAGCTTAAGGGAGCTGTGGGACAACATGAAAAGTAACTGAAGGTGAAGAAAAATGAGCAAGAGCTAGAGAACCTGTTTGAAGAAATAATGACAGAAAACTTCCCTAACCTGGTGAAGGAAAAAGTCACACAAGTTCAGGATATACAGAGATTCCCAAGCAAGAAGAACCCAAACAGGCCCATGCTCAGATACATCATAATTAAAATGCCAAAAATTAAAGACAAAGAGAGAATCTTAAAGGCAGCAAGAGAAAAGCAACTTGTTATCTACAAAGGAGCTCCCATAAGGCTGTCAGATTATTTCTCATCAGAAACTCTATAGGCCAGAATGGAATGGCATAAAGTATTCCAGGTAATGAAAAGCAAGGATCTGAAACCAAGATTATTATATCCAGCAAGGCTATCATTCAAGATAGATAGTGAAATAAAGAACTTCCCAGACAAAGAAAGGCTAAAGGAGTTTATCACCACTAAACCAGCACTGCAAGAAATGATAAAGGGACTGTTATAATGATAAGAAGAAAGAGAATGAAACCTAGGCATAAAGAATTAAAATGAAAATGATTAATGAAGTATCACCTCACACCTGTCAGAAACGCTACCATCAACAAATCAACAAATGACAAGTGCTTGTGAGGATACAGGAAAAGGGAACTCTAGTACCCTGGTGCAGCCATTATGGAAAACAGTATGGAGTTTCCTCAAAAAATTAAATATGGAACTGCCATTTGACCCACTGATCCCACTTCTGGGAATATATCCTAAGAAACCTGAAACAACAATCAGAAAAAATGTATGCACTCCTATGTTCATAGCAGCACAGTTTACAATAGCTAAGATCTGGAAACAGCCTAAGTACCCATCAGCAAATAAGTGAATAAAAATGCTGTGGTACATTTATACCATGTAATACTATGCAACTGTATAAAAGAAGGTTATCTTACCCTTTGAGACAGCATCGAGGGACCTGGAGAGTATTATGCTAAGCGAAATAAGCCAGTCAGAGAAAGACAAGTATCACATGATCTCACTCATATGTGGAATCTAATGAACACAATAAACTGGTGAACAAAATAGATCCAGAGACATAGAAGCATGGAATAGACCATCAAATCTCAGAGGGAAGGCGGGGGTGGGTGAGTGGGTGTGAAGAGATCAACCAAGGAACTTGTACTAGTATGTATATATGCATAACCCATTGACACAGACAATAGTGTGGTGTGGGGGGCAGTGGCAGGCTAGAAGGGGTCAATGGGGGAAAAGGAGGGACATATGTAATACCTTCAACAATGAAGATTTAATAAAAAAATGTTAGAAGTGAGGACAGATTTCCTGTCCCTACTCAAAGTGTTACAAAGGGCAGTGGGAAAATCACAGGAAGTAAAACTCAGTGGTTAGACACAAAATGAATTTGCTATATTCTCAAAGTTTTTTTCATTGTTAAATTTTAGTGATTTCTTATAAGTTAGTAACAGCACAGTGATTGTTACTATTCAAGCAAATAACAAGAGTTAAATTAATCGTGAATTCATTAGTGAATTGTTCTTTCTAGTCTGGTAAATAGGCTGCTAGATTGTTATGTAGGCTTATCTATCATAGCATGATCTTTTAATACTTTCATTTGAAGTATTATAAGAAATCATGGTATTAACAATGAAGTTCCCTTTTGTGTGTTTGTCTTGACTCCTTACACCATCCAAATATATAGGTTTATTTTTAGTCATAATATAATCTAATTTTAATGATAATATAGTTTGTAATGATAAATGATCATTTCTAAACTTGATTTCCTTGGGGATGCATAATGGTTTAGTTGATGCAGCTCTTGCTGTTTTTATGCTATTCCAGCTCTTGCTGTTTTAATTAATTTGAATCAATGATTCACTAAAAATATAGAGCTCATAAAGCCAAAGTTGAAAATAGCACATCGTTTAGATAGCTTAGCAAACAGTACAATCTTTCATTGAGACTTTGTGCAAGTTAACCAAATTGTTTCAATTCCTCCATTTCTAAAAGGAGTGACATAATAGTACTTAATTTATGTGTTTTTCTGGGAGGAAAATGAGATATTGTGTGAAAAATATTTAGTACAGAACCTGGCATATAGTTAGTATTCAATAAATACTAACTCGTAATCATATTAATTAATTATTATTAAATATAATACTAAACCTTAGAAAGTTTTCATTTTAAAATTTGAAAATTTATAAGAATTTTGAGTTGGGCTGTTTTGCCAAGTAGAAATTTTTTATTTTTTTTTCTTAATAGTTTAGTACAATATTCTCATTTGAGACAAAATGACTGTGAATATCATTGATCTTATAACAAAGAAGTTTTAAAAAAAAACAAAATATAGTCAATATCCCCTGTTTTCTTATAAAGAAATAGTATTACTCTTCACAATAAAGGAAGATACCTATCAGTTGGAAACCCTCACTGTTACAAATGGCCAGAAGCTCGCTGCTCTTCCAATCTCTTAATACTTGTGCAACAGGTAGGGGTTGGTTTCAGAGTATAGTCCCGTGACCATCTGCCTTTGTATCCTATGAGCTGCTACTTAAACATGAAGCTTTCTGGGCCACATCCCAGACTGAATAAATCAGAATTTCTAAACATGGGGCTCAGCAAGCTGCATGTCTAACAAGTTTCACAGGTGGTTCTTATGCAAAGTAAAGCTAGAAAATTTCTAATTCACTGGAACACAAGAAAATGCTGTCATTTTTTTTGTTTTGTTTTGTGTTTTGTTTTTGTCTTCTGGTCTGTATAACCTGGAAGAGTTACCCCTTTTTCATAAATAAATTTTAGCTTCACTCATGGCATCAGTTAAATAAGTGAACAATTTCTTGGTAGCAATTTGGGGGCTTCAAGGAGAATCTTGGACTATTATGATCTAGGAAAAAAAAATACAGAATGAATTAAAGGGTCATCACATTTAACATTTCTTCAGCTCTCCAGCCCAGTAGTCGGCAAACTCATTAGTCAACAGAGCCAAATATCAACAGTACAACGATTGAAATTTCTTTTGAGAGCCAAATTTTTTAAACTTAAACTATATAGGTAGGTACATTGTTATTAACTTAATTAGGGTATTCCTAAGGCTTAGGAGGAGCCACACTCAAGGGGCCAAAGAGCCGCATGTGGCTCGAGAGCTGCAGTGGCTCTAGCCCCTTCTGGAGAGGACCTTATTGACTGATTTTAGAGAGAGAGAGAAAGAGGAAGGGGGCAAGGGAGAGAAATAGAGATAGAGAGACATTGATTTGTTGTTACACTTATTTGTGCATTTGGTTGCTTCGTGTATTTGCCTTGACCAAGGATCAAACTGCAACCTTGGTGTATCAGGTCGATGCTCCAACCAACTGAACTATCTAGCAAGGGCCTAAGATATATATTTTTTATTGGGTTGATGACAGTTGAGAAAAAATAGTGAAGCCAGTAAAGTGAGCTTATAATTTTGTATAATGTGTTGTTTTTTTATTCGAAAGTGATCTTGAAAAATTATCAGTAAATGAATTAGATTACTTTCTGCTCTTAAAATTATATTCTTAAAATTTTTACCACATTAAAACTTATTTTGTGTTTTTTTACAGGAATTGAATTGCCTCCTAGAGGGAATATTCCAATCACAGTGTGTTTTAATCCCAAAGTTATGAAATTAAGGAAGACAATGGCCGTTGTTCAAATGAGGAGGGCAGATGGAACAAAGTGGCCTATTGACAATTTTGATGAATTGAGTCCAGAGTTGAAAAGGTAACGTTTAAATAAGTATATTGGTTTGGTTTTGTCTGGCACTGATACAATCAGCTTCTTTTATATGTGATGCAACGTAAAGTTCATGCTTTTTATTCTCTGATATGTTGAAATTTATATGTTCAGAGGAGGAAAATGTATTTGTTAAATGGGTATACTATGTATCATTGCTGATGTAAAGTTCAAAGTGATGAACAACTCAATCTTAACAGACTCAGAGACATGCAAAGGCAGCCTTTTAAACTGAGAAAATAGTTACTGCCAAGACAATAAGTAATCTATATTTTGGAGAACAACCTAAAACAACTTGTCTGGGCAAAGTATAAGACTTGTGATGCTGGTATTCATCTACTGATGGCACAGTGCCAGGTGGATATGTCATCCTGATGCACCTCTCCCATGACTAGGGTATCCTGTTTCATTGCCAGAATGCAGGAGACTTGTATCCATGTTTCCTCACTGAAATTTAAGCCAACTCCAATAATGATAGAAAATGTAAATGCTTTCTCTGCTGTTATAGTTCAATTAAATAATTGTCTAGAAGTCTTAATTAAAAAGAAATTCTTATTTTGCCCTACATGTACATATTTTATCTCCACATTTGAAAGAAAGGTTTCCTTGGGGTACATTCTGCTATGCTTTTTCATCACTCCTGCTGTCGAGACTGTCTACATGATTTGTGGGTCCTCGTGTATAAGTGAAAATGAGGGGGCTTTTCTTCAAAAAGTATTAATAGTTTTAATACAGGTACAGTAGTGTATTAAACAAGCATGGAGCAATGCTAAGTGTGTGATTTTTGTGCTAATGCACAGGTCACGCTCCTACAAAGCTGGTCCTGCCTGCCATGACTTACGTTTCATTTTTAACAGGAAAATCCTGTTTTCAACAATGATCAGAATCATTCTAGTATCGCTATCCTCCTGGTAGTGTATAAATGTACTTAAAATATTTTGAGAAATGTCCTCTTTCTTTTAACTGGTATCTCCCAAAAGGAAAGTACTCCTTTCTGAAGTTCTGTATTTAATGGCATTTTTGTATGTGTGCTTTGCTTCTCCAATTTAGAATATAACCCATGGGAATTGTACTACCTGTGATTAATCACACTCTAGTCACATCAAAAAATATCAATACCAAGCTTTAAGTGTAGGGAGAAATGTTCTTTAATTTTAACTTACATCTCATAATGGTTGTATTCTATTTTTACTTGTGATAATTTCCCAGGGTTTGCCTTAAAATGTTTATAAAATCAACATTTACCAAAAATGTTTTGTATTTCATACTTATTGTCTCTCTGCCAAAGTTTATATTCGCAAGCTTTGCTCAAATACCATTAAGTTAATAGAGAACATGCTCTTTTATGCTAATATTTAAAGTGTTTATGGTTTTTGTTCACTCTTAATTTAATTTCTATTTAGAATGATGGTAGCAGACAGTGGAGAAATGCAAGCAATACGATGGATATACCCTATTCTTGGACTCCCACAGGCAAAACATGATGAATTCCCTCCAGGTAGGTATATTTTAGTGTCAGAGAACACCGGGATTTGGAGGTCATTTAGAGGCCTTCTCATCCCATCTTTTCTTTGTACAAGTAAGAAGGTTGAGGTCCAGAGAAAGTAAGTTGTGAAGTAGCCAGCCCTATTGATGGGAGTGCTAGGACTGAATCTTGTCCTCTAACGAGTCCAATGTTATTGCCACAAAGCCACGCCATTTCCTGTTGCTCTTCCTATTGGTAAAACCTAGAAATCAGCTAAGATGAAAATAACATTAACTTCAGGCCCTTTATCTCAAATTCTGTGAGGTGTTCAAAGCCCTGAACTAGATCTATTAGAGTCTGTGGAAACCCTAATCAGAGTACCCCAGATGTTCAAGGCCAATTGGAGTGTGGGGGCTCTGTCCAGAGTACACCAGATGCTCAAGACCGATTTGTCATACGAAGGTGCATAAGCAAGGACACAGTGATATTACTGTACCAGTATACGCTGACAGGCATACCTTTCTGTAACCCAAGTATTGATGTCACTATTTGGAAAGAAGCCTCTTTTGTCTAAGTTGGTATAAAGATGTGTTGTTGACCAGGCAGTGTGCCACTGCTTGGTATGGCTCCTGTGTTTGCTACTGTATTTAATGTAGTATGGACATTTTTAATTCTCACCTAAGGATATGCTTTTATTGATTTTTAGAGAAAGAGGAAGAGGGAGGGAGAGAGAGTGTGAAAAAGAAAGAGAGAGAGAGAAAGAGAGCAATGTGAGAGAGGAACATCAATCATTTGCCTCCTGTACGTGCCTCAACCAGAGATTGAATACGCAACCTGATGTGTGCAGATAGAATCTGCAACCTTTTTGGTGTATGAGACAATGCTCCAACCAACTGAGCCACCTGGCCAGGGCAAAATATATAAAGTTTTTTATGCTATACATTAATATATAGTCACATTTTAATATTGATTGTAATGTATTGCAATTTTACATTTAACTGTTAATGGTGTACTCTGTAAATTTCAAGTGAAAAAATATTTTAAGTATTTTACTTAAAGGAATTTTAAGGTACATGTAAATAAATAATATAGTAGGAAATATTTTTAAACTCATTACAAAATAAAGGTTATGAAAGTTACTTTTTTAATTATTTGAAGGTATTTTCTATAGTATAGTTATATAAGTTGAGTTTGGTATTTACCACAATGAACATAGAAATAGCTGAAATATTCACTGTTCTTGACCACCAGGTGAATTATTGATATAAGTAGATCTGTTTCTGAATAAGATTTCTATATCCTAGTACAATCTTCTATTACCTAATTTATACCTTTCAGATTTATCTTTTGTCATATTTTTGCATATTATTTAATATTCATATTTTATTACAAAATGTAAATGTATATAGATATTGTGGAAGGGTGTGTGTGTCTGTGAATGCAGGTGCAATGTCAAGTCAAAGTATGCCAAAGAGCTTTTATTTTTATTACATAATTTAATAATTTATTTTCTTGTAGCTCAAGAATGATCATATAACCTAATAACCAAATTGACTGGAAATATTTCTTTCTTGTAGTTGTCATAAAATGTCAGTCCAGGAAACGGATAGAAAAGAATTTGAAAGTCACAATTACTGGTGATTTTATTGGAGATCATCCTATCTTAAATGTATCAGATTTTGTAGTGATTCCAAAAAAACGTTCATATGCATCTTATGAAGATATCGATGGTAAGAGAACCATAGTCATGGGTATAAAACATGATGATAAATAAAACCGTTTCCTTAAATTGCAGGTTGCTGATTCCTCAGTTATGTGAAAATCCATGCCAATTTATTTTTAATTTACAATATATCATTAAAATACTGCTCAACGAGTGTTCAGTAATATTTGTTTTCTTCACGGTAGCTATCTCCAAAATGATGATAATTATGGTTATTAATGGCTTTATAAGAATAGAGTGTTAAAGTTTTATTACAGAATTTATCTTCAGAGTAACCTTATGAAGCCGGTAATATGACTATATTTTATTTTACAAGTAATTTGTACAGGGTCATACAACCTAGCAGTGGAAGGCATGGTACATGAATACAGTCTTGACTATTTTTTAAAACATTATTTTAAATTTGAAATAACTTTAGATTTAAAACCTAGATGTGAAATAATAAGTTCTGAACTGTTCATACCGTGATCAGGCCTAACCTAATTGCTTTTCCTTTTAAAGTCTTGTAGGAATAATAATAAAAAAATATTACAAAGGCAAGGCTTTCAAAGAGGTTCCCTAACATAAAGTATAATGTCTGGTGCACAGTGGTCAATTTCAGTTCCTACCCTGTTTGATCCCGTGGCTCTTTCTTTTCAGTAGTAGTATTTACCCATTGCTTTCTAAATAAGATATTACCTTAAACTTATAAAATTACCAATGTTCATCCATTTTTGTGCCATAGAAATGTCTGTTTCATATGAAATCACTGACATTTGATTTTTTATGTACAAAAGTGTCTTTTCATGTGATGCAATCTATATATAATAATCCAGAATTAGCCTTCACCATTAGTCCCCTACTGTCTATCATTCCAACCTTTTGTTTCCCTTGGTTGTTAACCTGTTACTCAACCAAGTGGGATCACTTGCTACTTCTGTACAGTTACCATCTACTTTCCCAGCATGGTGAATGTCTATGATATAGTCGGCCCTGCCCATCTGCCAACTTTCACTCCCTTCTTGTGGAAACTATGTCCACTAGCCATATAATTCTTATAATATTTCAATCATATAGTCTTCCCCTGCTCAGAGTGGACATCTAATGGAGGTTGGGCTTGTGAGTCTTCCCTCTCCTCCACATCTTTTGTAGTCAGAACACAGAAAGTCTGTTTCTCTTCATTTGCTGAAGCTGTAATAAATAAGTGAGTATTATTTTCTCTGCATGCCTGTTTTGCTCCTCTCTTTGCAGGTCTACTTTCTCTGCCTACTCATCAAATTATACACATGACTCAGTCATGATCAATTGGTTCTTCCTTTTATTTAAGGACACCCTCGGTAACTTCCAAAAGGTCATTCCAACTGGGATTCTGTTATTTACAAACAAGCATTCAAAGAGTAAATATAGAAGAGGATCTGGAAATAATAAATATTTCTTAAGTGAATTACAAAAATGTTAGAATAATCTCCCACATGCAATCTCACCGTAAGATTTGGAAGGAAGCCCTGGCCAGTTTGGTCAGTGGATAGAGCATTGGCCTGCAGACTGAAGGGTCCACGTTTGATTCTGGTCAAGGTTTCAGGCTCGATCCCTGGCCAGGGTGTGTTGAGGAGGCAACCAATCGATGTTTCTCTCTCTCTCTGTCTCTCCCTCTCCCTTCCACTTTCTCTAAAAAAATCAATGGAAAAATATCCTTGGGTGAGGATTAACAACAACAACAACAAATATTTGGAAGGCAATATTTTAAAAACTGGAGGTGGAATTCTGAAATGAGTATATATGTTATTGTACCCAGTGTACTTAATAAGATCTTTGGAATTATAAAAAAATTAATTCACATTAATGTTCTTTATATTTACTGACTAGTTATTGATTGTGTGAATTGTGTGAGATGAGATAGTAATACTATTATTAGGTTGCATAATAAGATATTTCATTATGTTAATTTATTCGTTATTTATTTTTTCCCTTTGAATTTTAGTTTTCTAATTGCAAAAATGCCAACTTTATCACTGGTAATTTAAATTTATTTTTAAAAGGAAATAAATTTAAATGAGAAGGGAATTTTCTATTGCAAGCCTATTCAATTACTCCTTATTTTAAAGAACTATCTTTTAATAATGAAATCAGACTGATGCAAACCATTTTTATTTATCTTAAAAACATTATAAGTTGGATACAGATTCTGCTTTAGAGACTCATGTAGCATTAGAGGAATGTAGGGAATAGAATCTTTAAATAAATGATACCCTGTCAGCTTTCTTTTCTTCAACCAATAACCAATAACCAATACTGAAAGAGAATTATCATTATTTATTCAGATCAGAGATAAAAATATTAGTGTAGATTAACCTGAGTTTAAATGTGAAACTAAACTGCCAATTTCCAGTGATAAATAATTGTTTTATTGAAATAGACCATCATTTTAATAAGCAGACAACTTATAGTAACCATACCCCAGTGAATATCCAGTCCCTTTCTGAAGTGAAATCATTGTTTTGTGTGTCACCTGTTATGCTTAAGTGAATATTAACAGTTGAGTGTTCAAACCTTTATTTCTGTTTTAAATCTATCCTGTAGAAGATAAAACGTTGATGCTTTATGACATTAAGTATAAAAGAAGGTAAAGAAATTCTTGTATATAGGAACTATTTTAATAACATCTCACTAAATTACTTAAGTTGCACTCTTCTCAGGTTGCAAGCTAAAGAAATTATAATTCTGATAATAGAAATTGATTAAATCTTATTACCTGGAAAAATCTACTTCCTTCAAGATAAACAAGGTCTATAAGGAAGCTTCAAAGAACATCATTTTGGGAGGTTTGAATTGCATGTTATATGAGGAAAACAGTCTCCCAAATAGCTCTTCAAAATACACCTTTTAGTATGGCTCATAATTTCACTGTTTCAGTACTTTTCATGATGAAAAATAACAATATGGGAAATAACTATTTGGAAGGTTTGCAGGCTTCTCTCTTCCTCTCTTTCTCTCTTCATCATTCCTCTACACTAGCTTTTTCTCTGCTCAAAACCAACAAACTCAAGAAGCTCATCTATGTATTTGCTACAGGCATTTTAATGTGTAAATGTTTATGTTCTGAAACTTGTCTTGCTATCCAGAAGTAGAGTTTTTTTCAATCTTCTCTCAACTTTAATGCCTTTTTTTTCTGTATTCATGGGACCTGAATATTTGATAAATCAGCTGACCTCTCTCTTGTCCTGGTTCCTTAAAACCATCTGGTAATAACTTGATTCCTTTCCCTGTCTTTATTCCAAAGTTGTAACCACCTTGTCTGACTCTGTATATCTCCCTACTTGCCTTTCCATTCTTACCTATATTTTTATGAGGGGAAAAGTCTGACCAAAAAGTTTGAAAACTCTTTTAGTTTTTAATATATGCAAAGGCAAGCCAGCTGTTTTTCCCTGTGTGTATAATTCAATTATAGTCTACTCAACAAATAATGTCCATCAGAGTCTTGTTCATGCCATTTTGTACTTCCCAATGCCTCTTAAATCGCTTGTAGTGGAAATTAAAGCACTTCACTCTGCTGCTTGGATTGTAATGGAGTTTTCTGTGTGATCATTGAATGCATCCTATATTCCCTCATCTGAGTTTACTGAGAAGTAGATGTAGAATTATGGCAGATAGAGATCAAAAGGTTGCCTTTATTATAAAGGTGAACTGGAAAGTGACTTGGTACTATGCACTCATTTGGGCTTATTAATACCTTCCAACAAAATTGAGTGCGTTCACCCTGAGCTGCCCAATTGTAAACTCTCTTTAGGAACAAACAACCTACTCCTGAAGGAGGAGGAGAAAGTGTACATCTTGGATTCAAGACATTGGGAAAGGAAGAGAAAAGTCTGCTCACCTCATGTTCCATTCCTTCACCCTAATTCACTGATCAGATATGTTGCTTTTCCTCTGATGGCAAGTCATAAGGGAGGAAGCAAATTGATGCAGGTTTTTTTGTCCCTCCTAAATTTTTCCTTCTTGTGAGTGAATAAGCCCCTCTATGTAAACATGGTAAGTAGGAGATAAGAATCCCCCACTCCCTTTCCATCCTTCTTTTACCTTAATTGTCTTTCCCAGAGATTCCAATAAGACTATAAAGCCTCATTAAGTGAAAATGCCAGGACTTCTCTGCTCTCTATCCCCACTGCTCACACACACCATTGAGTTAACCAGGATTGATCATTTTCATATCTCTTCATTCAACAACAATCCAGTGAGCATATTTGCTGCCAGATAGTATGCTGAGCCCCAGGGATGCCAAAATGAACAAGACACAGACTTGGAATTCAAAGAACATCTATCCAACATATTGGATTTATGTGCCTATATTATTGGTAATGCTCTACTGGGATATTATTAGACTTGGATTTTTAGACTGTATTTTGCAGTGCCACTTCATAACATTGCAGATTATTCTCTCTGAGCAGAAGTTCCCTTTTACTTGTATTTTTTCCTAAGTGGCTTTCGGTCCATGCATTCTTTGTCTCTCTGGGGAGTAGTTTAGTGACTTTCTCTGTGGGACTTTTTCTGTGAGAGTGGTTTTACCACTTAATGGCACATCAAATTCATGCCTCTTCCTTTTATTTCCCAGGTGTTCTGCATCTTGCAGCTATTTTTCTTTGCTTAATCTGCTGTCTTTTTCTGTGTGTGATCTCTGATTTTTGTGTTACACTGGCCTCTTTTAACCCGAGGCCAGTCATCATGCTGTATGTCTTTTGCATGTCATCCATACACAGTATGGGGTTTGGTCTGTAATCACAAACAGGTCCTGAGAAACCTGGCATTGGTCCTCCATAACCCCCACATTAGCCCCTAGACTTGATCCTTTACTCTGCTTCTCTTTATTTTACTTTCTCTTCTCAACTCACTCCATTAAGGCTTCTGTCCTAACTACTCTTAGAGCAAGGTGCCCATCACTTTTGTGAACCCAAGGATCACTTTTACCTTATATACTAGAGATAGACTGGTGGAGATGCCGATTGTGGACCAGGTCAATTCATGGTTCTCTGA